CTCTTTAAACAGAATTTTCTAAGTTCTTTTCATTGCCATCCGTATGTTAATGTTACCCATGGTACCAGCTCTGAAGCTGAGCTCAGTAAGCAGCGCACAAAAGAATCTTGATTAGTAAAGTATGATAGACACAGAGAGAGGAATGAAATTGAAATTATTAATTCATCCGTGGAGATCTTGCTCCGTGCTGAAAATGCTTTTTAGCAGGTATGCACTTCAAAACACAAATGATCACAGAAAAAAAAATAGACATCAGAGCAGCGGCTGCATACCTGCCAGCCCCTCGCAACAGAAATCTGCAACGAAAACATGTATATTCACCCCCAAAACTGAGCTGAGGAGACCTACTCCATCACAGCCATTGGTTGCTTCATAAAAACTGATGGAAGTTTTTGAAGTTGCTGGCTCTGGAGCTGGGAATATGGGCAGGGTGTGTGTCAGGCTTGGAACAGCTGGCTTGGAAGCTCACACAAAATCAGCTACAACTATGCAACTGGGCCAGGACACCACCCAGCCAGCAGCCATATGCTTTTCCTTTGTGGTTGCTGAGCTGTTCCAAAAGCCAAACCTTCATTCCAAAAGGGGGGAAGAAAAAAAAAAAAACCCAAGTCTTCAGCCCATCCAAGTCTAGACCAGCTTTTTCTACAGTTGGAAATTATATAGTTTCAGTGTTCAGCAAAAATGTGGACAGAAACACGCTGTGCCCCACTCTTGGCTAACCTGATCCCTGAAAGGTGTCACTTTTTAGCCTGTACAGGGGCAAAAATCATCCAAAGGGTGGATCTGATCTGATGTAGAGATGTGTGCTGATGTGCAGCCAGGCTCGAAAAAACACAACTGCCAGAGATGGGAACTGCCTCGTTGAATGCAGGAGGCATAAAGGACAGTCTTAGGATGGTTTAAATGCAGCCATTAACCGTAGCGCTGCTGGTAAAACATACAGGAGACTGTCACGCTGGATGCCACCCTCGTTCAGAGAGCTCTCCGAATGCAAATGCTCTCTTTAGTCACTTTCCTAGGGAGGGGAAAAAAAGACACAAAACCCAAGAAAAAACAACCCAATCCAAATACCTGAGCTGACTATCAGCACAGTCTAAGGATAAAACCAGACTGGGCATACAGCATCAGCAGAACAGCGTAATTCCTTGAGTTTTGAGTCAAAATAGTACAGAACTGTATAAAACACAGTAGATTATATTTGTTAGTACTAACATTTCACACCTGCATTCAGTCTCTGCTAGGAGAGCCGTTCCTTGCAGATATGGGTGCAATTATCAGTTTCATTCACATTGATCTTTGAATAGCACACAGGTAATTCTGGAACACCTGGGAACAGCTCTGCTGACAGATTCCCCGTTTGCCCTCACTCCCCCAAGTCCATCTTCTGTTGTTCATTATTAAAAATTTCCAGTATAAGAAACATTTTTATTTTTTAAACAGCTAAGTATGCAATGCAATATCACTCTTAAAAGCTTTCTCTCATTTCACAATGTTTTTGAAAGGCATAAATAAAGCCAAATAAGGCACAAATAAAGCCAAATAAATTTTATGAGAGTGACAACATGGTTTTTTGTTCAGTTTTAATTCCAGTGCTCAGTATCTCCTGATGAATACTTAAGAGACTATGCATAAACTAGACCTCATCTGCAATTTAAAGAAAACAAAAAACTTTGTTCCTCCAGCATCTAAATCATCTGAAAGGCAATGAAAAATACGTTGCTGCATTTCTCAAGCAACTAACATTTTCAGGATTTTTTTGTGCCTCTGAACACTTGCTTGACTTAGGATTTTTCAATACCCAAAATAGATTACTCTTCTGTGGCTGAGTAACATTATACAGCAGTTTAATTGCATTGTATGAACTCTAAGTTTGTTAGCTAGCTTCTTCCAGATAAAGATATTTCCAGAACATCTGCATCAGTACAGTAAGAGGCTTCTTGCATAACTGCTGTAAGTGGGGAGAAAAAAAATCTCCTGAAGGCTTTTTAATATGATCTTTCATAATTCGAGTGCTTGGGAATTCATACCAAAGTAGGAACAATGGATTCATTAAATAGTTCACTTTCACCTAATGCCTTCTGCATGCTTCACTCTTACACTATAAAGCAACAAGCAACCACCTTTTCTTACTTGTTTGTGGTCAAGCTTTCTATTTGAAGTCAGAGGAAAAACCCTTCCCTCTGCTTGTGCAGGTTGTGAGCCAAAAGAAGTCGTACAAACCGAGGTTCTTCCTCCCACCCTGTTCAATAGCTTAGAAGTGTCTGATCAAGAAAAACTTGGGGACTTGAGGATTAAAATAAAAAAAAAAAAAGGGAGAGAGAAGGTTAAAATTTCCAGAAATCACTTCATTCCCGCTGGATATGTCTTAATAAATCTTAGAATTGGGCAAAAATCCATATCCCCAGTCCCAGCCAGAAGTAAGTCTTGAGACACAGGGAGATTTGCATATGCTCAGTTCAGACCTGCTTATTTATTTCTTAAAATGTTTTTACCGAATTAAACCAACCCATCCTTACCATTTTATCAACACAAGCTTCTTTAAGACAACAACCTCCCCCAGTTGTTTTTCTGAAGACAACACCTCAGTCTGTTGCCTATTTCCCCAACATAAGGGGAAAATGTTCCCCAGAGGCATGAGTTAGATAACAACTTAGTCCTCTTCACTGATGAAGAATCTTCAGATCTTGAAAATATCCTTCCCCGCCTCTATTTTTTTTGCCTTATTAAAGATTAAAACCTGAAGTTACATACACCGGTCTATGTTACAACAATGGAAATTTAAGTTTACATACCAAAACTCACAGAAGCCAGGAAATGAAAATTAGTTTCCATAGGAACATTAATAGCCTTCTCCCTTCATCTTCTACACGCACTTGAACACATACTTCATGAGTCTGAAGTAAAAGGTTCTTCGCCTTTCCATTTCATGAGCTGGCAACTTTAAAACTTACTAGTAACATGCTACTGTTACATTTATAGTCAAGAGAAAATCACAGATCACCTCACATAAAGAGCAGTATCTATATACATATAAAGAGCGCATTCAAAGTTGGCACTCATACATATTGATGAACACAAATATCCCAAGCATAAGTATTTAGAAACAAGTGTTCAAGCAGCCCTAAGCTATGCTAGTGAAACACTGATATATACTTTAACACCAATATACAAGCTCAATAATAGTAATCGGACACAGGGCACTTGTTGTACGCTGACAGGAACTATTTCACTCCATCAAGGACAGCCTGGATTTTACTCGTCTTTTGCATTTTCTGCTAGAGAGCATATCAAGGAGATGGGACATTTGGAAAGTTCATTTACGATGACCAACTCTAACTTTATTTTCTATCCACAGTGCTGGATATACACCAGAAGGATGAAGACCACAGATGCTTCAGACACTTACTCCTTACAGTCCCTCACTTGCAAGTTTTACACGTTTGCTAGCCAGAGGCTCCTTTCAGCACAACCAACCCTCAGCTTTTGTACTGCACGAGCTGGCAGCAGGATAAGAACACACCTCGGCATCTAGCTGGGCTATTCAGGACAGCCCTGCAGCCAGGCTACCCGTTCCCACCCTGAAACACGTTCAGAAGAGAAGGTAGTACAAAATAAGCTCTTAATGTCGCCGAGGTGGAACCCTGATGCTGCACTGCTAAAGCTATACACAGTCCTGCTGCCCACAACACATAGATCTCAGCGCAGTTTGCGGCTTCTTTTCCCTTTGAATATCTTGCAGTGTTTGAGCTGACCATGCCTATGTATCCCCTCCTCCTCAAACCATATTCGTCGACAGTATTTTGGAAAGAAACCCGCTCTGCTCTGTTAGAGCAAAGGCCTTTGTTACATGTTTTCTTGATTTAGGTTCAAATACAGCTGGAGAGCTTAACAACCAGTAATGCAGTCTATCCAATTTCAGAATCGCTTACTGGGGGTGGGGAAGAGAACGAGGAGTTTCACTTTTTAAACTTGAAAATTGATCTTAAAAAAAACTTGAAAACTTGAATTGATCTTAACCTGAAGGTGATTCTTCCAAAGTCATGATTTGGAACACAGAACACCCAAATAAAACAAAACTGTTAAAAGCCAAAAAGAACAGCTGAAAACCCCCTTTTGTTTATGCAGGTAGTCAAATGAAAATCATTTCATTTGATCTCTCATCTTGCTTTATACACATTTATTGCACTAGAACATATGCCTTCTATACAAAAAGATGCTGTAGAAAACCACAAGACTGTAAATACTAGATTTATGATTTGTTTGCAATTATATTTAATATTAATAGTATTTTGTTTTTACAAAGCAGTTGAAAAAAAAAAAAAAAAAAAAAGGAATAGCAAGAACCCCCCCCATCTGCTGTCTAGCATCAGTAATCCTCACTGGTTTGTTTACCATTTATAAGGAAAACATCATTCAAGGTAGCTTGTCACAGAGACTCTTCTATAATAACCGGCCTGCTGTGCAAATCCCTGGCGTTTGTCAGTTCATCTGTTTTTCCTCAAAGTCCCTCCTCCCATGATTCAAGGTATCTGCCAATGACAATATTCCTCCGCTCTAAAGTACCTTCCAGCCAAACACAGTAAATCTGATAACACATATCTGAGGATGGTAAATATCCTCATTTTACAGCAGCAAACTGAGCCCAGATAATTAATTTGCCTGAGGCCACTCTTTTGAATAGCCAGCCACAGAACCCAGATCTCACAATCCCAGGTGATTCACCTTGGCTGGAGACTATGCTTCCTCTCTACAGAAGAGTGAAAATTAACTGATTATATTGAAATTGTTTCTTTCTTCATCCTCTCTAAGAGGATCAGGTATTTTTTTTGTGTAGTATCAGTTTCTGCGTTACTATTTGGAAATGATGTAAATCTGTTTTAAGGTTAACACCTGCACTAAGCCCAACCCCAAAGGAGTCACTGTGACATGCAATCTGTAGGCAGTTAGACAGTGGGTAAGATCAAGCCTGCTAGTGACGTGAGACACTAGGGAGGTTAGCCTCATCCACCTGCTGACGGGCCTCTCCGGCCTGGTCTCCAGGAGCAAGTTCCGCCTCCTTCTCCAGACAGGGGGTTATAGCCTGGAAGCAAGAGGAGAAATCCACCGTCATCAATATTGGTCCTCAACAGGCCTTCACCAACACACAAGGAACACCAAAAATATACCTCACAATGATTTGCACCTTGTTTATACTTACTACATAGGCAGCATTTTAAGGAAAATGAAAGCAGAGAAAATATCCAGACTTGAGATGGTTTATTTCTGTAGCGCTAACAGTAAAAGCCATTGCAAAACACTTGTGTTTTAATTTGATCAATTTGGATTAAATTAAATCAAAATTAATTACCATTTAATTTCTCTAAATCTGCACTAAAGCTTTAATGCTGCTCTGCAGAGTAAACAGAGCAGCAACAGTAACTCTTAACAGTAAACTCTGTAAGAGTGTGTCTGTTCTCCAAGAGCCCTAGTAGTTAGGGACTTAAAGCAATCTTTATTCCAGTCCTGTAAGGAATACTCTGAAGGTCAAAAGGTGGATCATTATTACTGTAAATCTTACTACTGTAAGTTTTTTTTAAAGAATTTGAAAAGGCAAGTATATGCAGTAAGGCAAACAGATACTTCAGTTGAACATTCTAATGCCGTAACTATAGGCAACTTCATTTTATGAGTACATACCCAGAAAAATACAACTTGGCAAACATCCTCAATTTGTTCGGTACAAGGCAAAGAAAAAGACAACCGAAAACCTAGCAGCCTTGCTAACCAAGCAGGTTTCAAAGCAACCTGTTCCACTGAAACTTCAAGCATCACCTCCATCTTTGAAGTTTGTTTTTCTCAAATTAGCCAAGTTCTGCTTTCTAGCTTAATTCAGCAGCTGAACAGTGCAGATGGTTCTTTCACTTCATGCTGATCTACCTGATGAGAAGATCAGAGACCTCTAATTCTATAATCTGTTACTTAGGCAAAGATTTTGCTTAGGATGAAACTAGGACAGGTAGCGGCTAGAAGGGTGCCTCAGCCCAGCTGCCCAGATCCTGGTTCTTAGCACAGCTATTACCCATATATTTCTCATTCCCCATAGTGGTAAATATCCCGTGCAAGAGCTCTAAAGGATATTTGACAGTATCAGACATTAGACTGCACTCATATTAAACAACTTAAGATGAATCAGTTGGTCAGTTTCTTCAGACGTTGTCAACAGCTGTCAGTAAAAATATTCAAAGCAGAACTTTCAGCACTGAAGTGTTACTGAGATTTAATATGTTTAATCAAGAATCTTCAGGTTTCATACATTTATTCGAGTGACTTACTCAGCGCTGCACCCTAAGTGGGTTTCCCTTTTAGCCTGATATGATTGAGGCTGTCTAGATGATTCCCTCCGCTATGGAAAACTGTAATTAAAATATTATACCCAAATTAGCACTTGCAGGTATGGCACAGGCTGTTTGGCCAAGAGGAGAGAAAGGAGACTAGCTGCATGGCCGACATGCGGCAGTGATCCTGACATGGGCTATGTAAGGCTATAGAAAGCTGTTCATCCATCAAGATGATTTCAGTGGTTCACAGTGAGTTTAACAATAATACCCTCTGGTTGTTTGTGAGAGTTGATAGGAGTTTATACATCTGCAGGATTTATATATTCAATAGGTCATTATTGTGATAGCTGATAAATAAGGTCACGTTTTGCGTAATGAAGTCTTTCATCTGCCTGAATCTACATCATACAAAGTAAAATATCCTCTTCCTGCATTTAGTTAGTACTACAGGTGATTGAAAGACAGACCAGATATTAAATTATTGGACTTTTACAATAATGGGGGAGGGATTCCTGAAATATTGTAAGAATCTATAATTTTGCATCACAAAAATCTCAGTAAATTACGGCAAAAGCATTTACAAGAAAACTGAAACACTGCTTCCTCAGGGAAAAGCACCACAGAAACATCCTGCTAGGTTTTGCACAAAGTGCAAAGCAGGCCACACTGGTTAGAGGTAAAGAGCTTGTTTGTAAGGCACATTTTGTTTCCTCCTTGAAGGAGAGAAAAATTATGTGTAGTTATACAATGACTATGTACACAGCTGGATAAATGCTCTGTTTCAGGCTCAGAATATCTTAAGGTTTTCATACTTACCACCTCCTCGCAAGGGTTTTTTGTTTGGTTTAGATTTCGGGACTGCTGATGAGGTGGAGGCACCAGATTCTACTTCTTGCTGTTCACAAAAGCAAAAGTTACTCAGAATTTAATCAATGTGAATTTCAGCTAATCTAATCACTTAAACATAATTGTAACCTGATTAACAGCACAGTTGTTACCTGATTCAGTTTCAGGTTTCCTTTATAACTTTTTCCTTCTTGCATACTTTCCCACATTGCTATCTTCTGTCTTCGCTTCTCTTCTTCAAGCTAAGGAACAAATTCAGGATATGCAAGACTAAGATTTCAGAACTAATAGAATCACCAGTGCTACAGAAACAGCTACAACAAACACATCAAAACCCAAGGGATCTACCTTTATCTGATGCAGTATCTCTGAGCTTACGGAAGCATTTACTTTTTTAAACACTCACATCTTCCCAACCACAGAACTGCAGACTGTGCCTGCAGCTTCTTTTAACCACTTCACCCTTTAAAACATTTTGAAAGTAAAACAGAACCAAGTGCCAAGCTTAAATCCTGAGTTTATAAAAAGTACTGAGTAAAGAATATTGTATATGATAGTAATTTAATGCACAACGTAGGGTTCTAGAGAAGAAAGTGTGTTTTTCAAATGAACAAGACAGCCAGTTACATATTTACATCCCAATATATATTATCAACAGTTCTCCCAGCTCTCTTCTAAAGCAATTTATCCACAAAACCAAATAAATTAGTGGTTAAGACAGACTGCCTTCTTCTCAACAAATAGAAAGGAAATGAGGTAGCTACTCCATCCAGTCAAAGAAAGCAAAGCTCCCCGAGTCCAAGCACACTAGACCTAGATTTTCTACATACTGGCTATTTTCTTCCACAGTATGACTTTTCATTCGTTTTTAACTGCCAACATGTCTTGAAGCATCAGCTATAAACTGAGGTCTGAATGTAGCTGACTGCAAAAGTAAAAATAGAGAAGAGCTGGGAGTAATGAGCAATATTACTGCTATGCTGATCACATCCACTTTTCTACAGTGCAATACGCTACTCTTCATTATCTCAAGCTGTAGTTTCCAACTATTAAATTACAGCAATGCTAAGCTACATTTCTAAGAACTTGTATTTGCCATTAAGAACAGAAAATACATGTATGCAGTGGTACAGTTAATCTAAACGCCAGTGAATCCTCTCTAGCCATTCACTGCGCATATAACAAAGTTTCTGTAGGTACAGATTTACCTGTAAAAAAACAAAAAGACCAGGCCCACAGTGTCCCAAATTACTTGCGGAGAAGCAAGTGCCACAGAGATTAATTACTTCAGGAAGGAGCAGAATACTACACATATCAATCATTCTAATCAACGAAGAGCATCAAGACAAGTATGTGCTTCCATCACTGGAGGTCCACCATGATACCTACTGCCCATTACTGCTCTGTGGATCAAACCGTACCAAAAGCAGTCCAGGTAAAGGAGGGGGAAAAACCCACCAGCCACATTCCAGCAGAGCGAGCGAGTCTCCTGTTCTGGTATCTAGCATGGAATAAACCTTTCTATAACAGCAGCAAAGTACTTGACAAAAAATTTGTGAGTTACCTGTCTTTGTTTTTCTTTGTATCTTTCTGCTTGTGCATTCAACTCCTCTTGCATCCTGAGGCGAGCTGCTGCCAAAGCTTCCTGCCTTCTTACCACCATGTCAGGTTCTAGGAAATTGGGAAAAAAATAAATTATAAATGGTCTCCTCAAAGAATTGCAATAAGGAAAAGCTCACGTCTCTCCCTGCAGCTGTTTTGCAGAAAATCACAGCTCAAGTTCAGTTTCTAGCTAATCTTTTACAGCAATTTATATGCTTATTTAAATTTCATAACATTTCAATATTTTTAGAGCAATTACCGTAATGGGATTTTAATAAGGACACCAATGTAATGAACCCATAAAAAATGAAAATTCACACTTCTAGGATACTTGCTTCTATTTCTGAAGAATTTGTTTGATACAAATAATTTCAGAAATATCACCCATGCTTCGCAGGGATTCCATTTCTACCCAGAGAACTTCTTTTACGCAGAAGCATGAGGCAACCGGCCCACATTCACTCCCACTTCTTCTGGCAATTGGTCCTGCTTGTTTCACTGTGACAGTGAAGCAGTGACAGATTTAACATGCTCCATCAGCAGAGAAATTACTTACAAATATCACACATATCTCAAGAGAAAACCGGTAGTCTCAGAAAATCTACACTGAGTAACCACCCCCTTTCATGCTTGGCCTTTAGGAGAAGTCAATAAAAATTATATCCAAACAAAGGCAACTATTGCTCTCTTTTTTTTGCAGTAGCTGAAGTATCTCTACATTTGTTTGTCTCCTTATATGTTTGGTACCATCCCATGATGAATACGTAAAAGAAATTTCAGTACTTTCAGTAATTTCATTTTATAGGCAGTTTTGGCAATTAAATCAAGATTTAATTAGCATTACAAAAGAACACCAATAGGATAAGGGCATGTGAGTAATATTTTCTGAGGCCCCATGTACTGCCATGCCAACTCGCCAAAGGAATCAGTGCCAAGCACTTACTGTTTTGGCAGATTCTAAGTACAGTCTGTGCTTTACGGCAGCGAGTCTCCAAATGAGGCAGGATCATGACCATGTAAGATTTACAACCTATGCCACACTTTAGAAGATAACACAGACAAGAGGCAGTTACACCCCAAATGTATACAATCCTGCCAGAATAGGAACTTGAAGGAATAATTGAAAGGAGAGAGAGATGATAAATATTAATTAAAAATGAATATTAATCAAAAGATTTTCCACCAGTATTTAGATTTGGATGTTTTGGTTTTGTTTGATAAGTCTAAAAGTTATCTGATAACTCACCACAACTAATTTTAACCACCATTCTCTCAGCTCCTGCACTACCAAAGACCAGCTATTCCCCTGTTCTGCAATGCCCCGCTCCTTCCCTCCCAACCACATCACTTCGGGACACAATCCTTCCCCGACAGCCTTTTAAAAACGCTTCTCTTGGTCCAACCTTTCCCCAGCGATCTCTTCAGTAACGCGAGCTGTACGCTTGCATGGGCCTAAACAGTTATCCTGACTCTGGCTCTCCGTTCAAACCCCCCCCAGAACTGAACCTCTTTTTGGTCGTTATTAGATAAAGACTCCGCGTGCGTGGATCTGAGCAGCTGTCAGACATCCCATCACGACCGCGGAGCGCTAGCAGGAACCTCAGAGGGACACAAGCACCGCCCTATACAGCTCTAAAGAACAAGCCGAGCTTTACTCACC